TGAAATCATTTTAAGGAGGGAGAAAAGCTCCCATTATCTCTTTGTAGAAATAGCCAATAATATATACTTCATAGGCTACGCATTGCTACAGCTTGCTTGCCTTAAAGGAATAGACACAGCCGGTTAGCTTAGCTTAGCATGAAGACTGGAAGCAGGGGGGAAGCAGCAAGCCTGGCTCTGTCGAAAAGGGAACAAAATCCATCGAGCAGCACCTCTGAAGCTGATTCATTTACAAATCATGTCTCATGTGCTTAATCTCAAAAACTGGAATGTGAAAAACAACAATTTGCTGTGTTACAGGGGGTTTGTGTGTACAACAGCTTCCTGGCCGTGAGCAGTTGCCAGGTAACCAGCAGAGACTTTAGGAAGTTGGCCAGCTGGGGGGTTCTCACATCTCTGAAAACACAAAAGCACATTTTCAAATAGGCATTATATCGATAAATCAACCGTGTATCCAAAATCTAAATTGTTACTTTCTTCCTGCAGAGATGTTAAAACTTAATCTGGTGACACAACAGACATCATAACAGTTATGAGCCTGGGTCAAATTCTGATGCATGCATTTCACTCGTAGGCCCCGTGAAGTCACCCATTGGTTTGTAGACTACGGTTTTAGAACCTTGAGTTCGGCATTTTTAGCCATCTTGGATTTTGGCCTTAACAATCTTGTTTTTAAGTGAATTGACATGATAATATTTTGACTGTGGAGGAGTGATTTAGAGACGCCGTATATGTCTTTGGTAGCTAAATGGACCATAATGTACTAAATGAACATCATGCTGTAGTGAAGAAGACTTGAAACTAGAGATTGAGACCATAAACTCATGTTTACAATGTTTACTGAGGTAATAAATCAAGAGAGAAGTAGAGTCATTTTCTCATAGACTTCTATACAACCAGAGGAGTCGCCCCCTGATGGTCAGTAGAGAGAATGCAGCTTTAAGACACTTCCACCTTGGCTTCACTCGGCAGAACCGGAGGTTGACACCTGGTTTTCGTTAGCTTAGAATCAGCCGTTTATACCTACAGACAGAGCAGATCCTCTTCCCGGAGGCGGAGCAGATGCGCGAAACTAGTCTAACACCGCGCCAGGCAGAGGGTTCACTGACACACGGGGCAGGTTAGGACATCTTCATCAGGAAAAACTGCAACAACGTGATGTTTGCTTGTTCGCATTGCGTCCAGTTAGAAACACACTTCACTCAAACTGAAAGACAAGCAGCGATGTATGAATGCTATCAACTCGAAGTCGTCCTAAAAAGAGGCTTCATTCAATCTTGCCAAAAGCAAAAAACAAACTCACCGATCTGCCCGTGTAGCAGCAGCTTAGCGGTGGAGAGGTACTGCAGTACTTCACATATATACACACGTATTTACACACATGCATCAAATGTGGAGCGATGCTAAAATGAGCACCTCCGGCGGTTTGCTCAAGGGCAACTATGCAGTGCAGTGCCGAGGAGGTAAACTGGCATCCCTCCAGCTGCCAGTCCATACTCCATACCTGGTCTGTGCAGGGACTCGAACCAGAGACGTCATCGAATAAAACATTTAGATGTAGATGTGTTTTTTTTATTGGCCCGTGACCGATGACCGTTTCAGTCCAGGAGAAAGCAAGAAAAGTCCAAAACACAGACAGAGAAAGACCTGGAGTGGGCCGACACACAGAGAACATAAAGCAATAAGTAGCCTTTAATCCATACACCTTGTTGTATTGACCATAAAGACATGCAGTAGCACACAAAGTGTCTGAGTGGACTCTTCTGTTGGACTCCACGGTGCTTTCAGTTGTTTTTAGGGCTTCTCTGTCATCATTACTATGTCTACCCTCAAACACTCCACTGTTTTCTGAGGAGTGTGATGTTTTGTGCTTTGAGCTTCCTGTGCTTGCTCTATGTCTTCTTCATTGTCCTGTCACCCAATCACAGTGTTGAATTTGCTTCCTGGCATATGTGCATTGTGCTCTTAGTTTGAGAAAAGGTAGTTCATTCTTTACTTCCTGCCTGTTGCTGTCTCTGCTTCTGGGTCCACCTGCCGGCTTCAAACATGAGAAAATAAATGAACCATGAGCACATCTGATAGATTGGAAAAAAAGACGTAGTTAATATTCTTCTATATCTGCTGTACTGCACACAAGAGGGATGAAGAAACAAGACATGTTTTAAGTAGAGCTTTTATCCAATCAGATCTCACCTCTGTGTCTCTAGGTAAGAACAGAGGCAGAGGCCTGCAGACTCTCAAGTGAATCCATGTGCAGTTTAAGTGAATGGGGACGATATTGTTGATTGTCATAGTGTTCAACCAATCAGATCTTTAGTTTGACATGTTGGGCATATTCTTTGACATGTCAGAGCCTTCTGGGTGGCCTACAAGTACGTCAGCATTAACGTGCGCTGTGATTGGTCAGTGGGCTAGCGTGACTGTTGTGAAGCTGAAGCTAGCTAGCAGAACTTAGTAGTAAGAGTTCAAGTTGAAAGATATGTAAGAAGTTATGACATTGACATGACATTTTTAGTGTTTTGTTTGGTGTAGATTCTTCTTTTTTTTCACCTAGCTTTGTTTTTTAACACTCAATGGCTGAAGGAGGAGAAACGGATTTGGTGGCGGAGTTACTGGCAACGCCTTTCTGGAGAAGAACATTTCAGGAAAAGATGGACATCGTATCAAATGGTTGGTCAACCCCACAGCTAACGGTATTCCTGGCTGACAGCGTCGGAGAAGCGTCGCACATTTTATGGCTAAGAATGCGTTTTATTTGCGACTGAGCGTCTTGGTGTTTGGAGCTATGCTACGCTAACCTGAGGTGGCTAACCAAGGCAGCAACACGACACTATAGCAGGCAGCACACGTACAAGCTACGGTGCTTTTGAAAACCCGAGTGGATCTAAAACTCAACGAACACGTTCACAGGAGGACCTCTGGCTGGAACTGAACCGCACCGATGTTCTGTACAACCGCGTTATTAAACTCTCTGTTATCAAAGAAAGGAGGATGGACTTTGTCTGTAAGTGAGCAGCAGCTTTGGTAAGTGAACTGCTTTTGTGTTTTAACCTCTGCAGTAGTGTTACTACTGTGTTCGTGTGTCTATGGTGTTGTTTTTATATGGTTAATATTGTTCCCTCTGATGTGAATAATATTTGAATGGTTCGTGCTCTTCAGTGTGTGGTGGAATACGTGTTTTAGTGCTGCAGTGTTTGCTGGATTGATTTGTTGCTTTGTTGCCATATAAATATATGTGACTGGTTCTTGTGAGTTTGTTCTTGTCATTGTGTTAATTACGTTGATTTTGACTACGCATTGTCCGTTAATGACGAAACATCCCGTCATGCACGTATTCATGTGTCTGTTTTCTTTAACAAAGCAAGAATGATGGTCTGGAGAAATGGGGATTGTGTGGCGATTGCTTTAGCCTGTTTGAATCAGTAGGAACAGCTAAACGCTGCGGGGAGAGTTTTCAGCGAGTGTGTGCTGCTGTTGGTTTTGCTGCTAAGCTAGTTTAGCATAGTGTGCGTCCCAGAACACACGTGGCTCATCAGAGTACAATGTTGTTCTTCTGCGGTGGGAGTGTCAGACAGCACGTTGTCTGTTACTGTTGTCTGTTGGGTTGCCATGTTGAGCGCAATGGCTCCACCGAAAGAACATATTTCCCACAATTTAAGCTTCTGCTTCAATAGTAATATTCAAACGTATTGTTTGGTTCCTAAGCCTCGTACCGAACGGTTTAATATGAATACGTGTATTGTTACACCCCTAGAAACAAATAATAACCGTAGCTGTGGCGTCATAATGAGGTTATTAGGAGGTGGTTCAACTCTAAAAGGACAGCACTGAAGGCCCAGCTATAAAATGCACAGCCCGCCACTGATACATGCCAGTAAAACCTTGACCTCACAGAATGAACCCTGAAAAACTGTCCGTTAGTGGAACCTCGTTGCTGAAGATTAACACACAAACTAAATGAGAGAACCAGAGGGAGAATATACTTTTTTTGTTCGTTTCATTGTGCTGTTCCGCTACAGCTCAAACGTGTCTATTCTAGTGAAACACCTCCCTCTTGTGTTCAGCTTCAAAACTGCATCAACGTGTGGATGAAACATGTGGATCAGCCCCTGATGACTAAAGGGCTCCAGTGTCTCATGAAGCAGGATGAGGAGTTAAACAGTCTTACTTCACCAAATCTTAGCATATTTTCAGTAAAGTCTGTTTATGTCTGACCCACGCTCCCGTGGAAACGTGTCCCTATACACGAGATAGTTCTCAAGTCCACATACACATCTGCAACATGTGTAGATATGAAGGGCTTATTCTAATCCAATGAAAACATAGTTATGATTACTACATTTAAGTTCTGCTAATAGAGCCCCTGAACACTGTTCTTAATGTCATGTGGCCTCTTGCACATATTACATTTCAGAACTTAACCAAACACATTTTACAAATTGACTTGTTAGAGTCTGAGCTCACCTGTGTACAAACCAGGTCGCTGTGAGTCGTCTTCTGCTTTGTTCATGGCAGTGGATTTGTTTATCTTGCTGTGCATTAACTATTATTGGCTGTGAACATCTCACTTTTGTCTTCACATGTCCGTTTGTCTTCAGTGGGAATCGATGTGATCGGTGCTCTGTGTCTGTGTTTCAAAGTCATGAATAATAAAGCAGACGGGACTTTATTCACATCTGCTTTGTTTGTCTTTAAGAACGTGATGAATTCTGGTTTGGTTCTTTACGCAGCTGAGCAGAGACAAAACACAGAGAGGGCCATCTGGTTTATTTTAAGCAACTGTAATGACGCATTGTGTCCAGCAGATGGTGCTAAACATGCACTGCATGGACAGGGAGGCCTGTGGCTCTGTTGCTCTGGTCTCCACACATAACGCTGTTCTTCCAGCTTGAGCCTTCATTGTGTATTTAGATGATTTATTCCCATACACAGAGCACCTGAACTCAACCCAGTACACCTTTGCAATGGTTTCCAGGAGAAAGACAAATATGATTCAGAGACAGAAGATGAGCAGCTTTATTGTTAGTTTAGTTGACCAACAGAGCTAGAAGAACTTAAGCACCAAGATGATGCCCTCAGGTATAATAATTAATAATGAATCAATAAATACAAATATCAACACAACTAAATTTGATAAGCTGAAGTCAGACATGAACATGTTACACTGTGAAAAGCAGATTCAAAATCATTAAAGCAGATAGAAAGTGACTTTAAAGTAACTTAAGAGCTTTAGCACTAATTATGAAATAATGCAGTCTTACAGTGTATGAAGTAAGCTGCAGTGATGAACAGCATGTCAACTGGTCAGCGGCTCTACCTCCAAACAATCTACTGTTGTCCCGCTGATTTAACAGCAAGCCTCACGTCCATCCTGGTCCTTTTAAAAAAATAGAACTATAAACCCAAAAGTCAAACTAGACTGACACCCATCACCCGCCATGGTCACCCATACGCATTATCCTCATCGCTGTGCTGCAGTAACATATGACGGCGTGGATCAGAGGAGAATCACACGGGTCACCGAGCACTCAGTCTGCATGGAGAACCATTGAGTGGGACCAACTACGGGTGCTGCATCAAAAGCAAAATACTGTACAGCAGTACTCCTCATTTATCATATACAGGCAACACACCAACAAATAACAGACTGTAGATGAAATGATGTATTCCTAATGAAGAATATGAGTGTTTGAAGCATAAACTATTGTGACCACAACCACGGGTCCCAATCTTTCCCCGTGATATGGCTGGTGTGACAGTGTGTCTCTAAAATAAAATAAAAAGGAGAATGTTGAAACAGAAGATTTTCCAGGACATTTTAATTTTCCTCTAACTTTCAATGAAATTTGAAGAACTGAAAAACGTGTTTTCCAGGACGTGTGGGAGCACCGATAACTAACAATTCTTCCACGAGTCAAAGCCGCCACATGAGCTACAGCTAATCAGAAGCAGCACGAGTCTACAGAGACTCAGCAGAATAAGAACTACAAATCCGTACTTCAAGCAACTCAGTATTGCTTTAACATAAATGCAACATGGAAAGGTTAACAAATAAATGGTTCAAAATGAAGCAGCAGAAGGAGATGTATGCTGACTTTTATACCCCACTATGACATCGTCAGGGTTATTTCTTCAGTCGTGGCCACAGCAGACGGAGCGCCTCATGACGACCTTTGTGTGTCACATTGGTGGAGTGTTCCCGACAGTGAGCAGAGTGAGACACACGCTGACCTTTGAAATCACTGTGATGAGCAGATGAAGCTTCATGCAGCCTAACAGACGTTCTGCAAACACCAAGTCATTTTATTTGTCTTCAGGAGTTCTGCTTATGTTTTCTTTGCACAGCACATCTTGTACAGAGCTAAAATAAGGAACACCAGTTTCACAGTCTGTGTGTGTGTGTGTGTGTGTGTGTGTGTGTCCCGAGTCCCTTTTAGGAGGTCCAGCGCATCCAGGTCACCTTCATGCGGTCCCAGACGGCACCTAACGAGTCGTAGGCGGGGCGCACATCCAGGATGGAGAACTGGTAGTTCTCCTTGTTGATTTCTCCGTCGTAGTAGTCGATGACGTAGCGCACCTCCTTCCCACAGCGGTCGATGATCCAGTCATGGCGGTCGAAAGGCAGCTCATAGCTAATGAGGAGGAGAAGAAGAGATGAATCCACTGAAATAAGACTGCGCTTGTATTTCATCCTCAGTGCTTTTTAACAGTCTCAATAGATGTTGGTGTCTCTGGTGTTCAGCAGGAGGAAAATAGTTCCGACAAGAAACTGCTCACAACACGGGCTGTGGATTATCTTTAGCATCAGGTCATTGATGTTGTTGTTGTTGTTGTTTTGGCACCACACGCTGATAATCCCATTACATTGGAGAGAAGGCAACTCACACCAAAAACAATCCACTTTATATTTTGGGGTGGACTGTCCCTTCAAAGCAGCATCACACATGTGAGCCCGACATCCTTCCAGACCAGCGACTGAATGTACGCATCCCTTGTTTTAGTCTTACAGGTGCAACGATGTTTCTATGTTAAGAGATAAATAAAAAGGCCACATTTTAAGTAGAACATACCAACTTCTCTACACTGAACCATGTCTAATGATGCACCGTTTACCAAACTTCTCACTTTCTTTGGACATGAATCCACATCTTCATCCCATTTGTTCTTCTCTAACAGGATTTTTGATCCATGTTACATAATGATGACACTGCTGCTGATAACAGAGTAACTAAACCCCCACCTTCTTCTGTTCAGCTGAGAACCAATGTATACGGTATTCTGTGGTGTGGTTCATGGATTCAGGTCGTTATCTTTTTAGCACAAACTATTTCTATTCTACAGATTGGGTTACAAATATTGTTCAACTGCCCTCTACTTATTGAAACCCAACTGTTGCAATATTATGTTGCTATTGGCTGATCTCAAGGCAGATTAGCAGATGGCGTTTAGCATAAGCTAGCTAAAAGGTTAACAGCTACCATGAAGGGTAATTTAATAACATTTAAGTCTGGCTACATGTAGACGTAACGTAGACCAGAGCCGGCAAATCAAGCGGTGCTTTTTATGTTCTGTAACTGTAGCATTGAATCATGGTGGGATTAGCAAGCTAGCTAGCGCACCGCTAAATGTGTAGAATTGAACAACTTCAATGCCTCATCCACACCCTCTTATCACCATCGCCAGATCATCAGTCAATAACACTGAACCACCACATGTTGCAATGTGCCGACGGCTTCATTTCACATCCACAGATTGTAACGCTACACTGGTTACAGAAAACAGTCGGTGGATAAGGAGCTCACCCCATCCAGTGGCGGAAGCGAGCCCTCGGTGAGAACTCTTTGGCTTTACCACCGAACCTCTTCAGGGTCGGCCCACATGGACATTCACTGCAGGACAACACGAGACACAGTCCTTAATAACAGGAAGAGTAGGACGACTTTGTAAAACTATATAAATATGTATATCTGACTCTGAACATCATAAGAATTGGTCTCAGATGAATGGAAAGCTGCACATCTGTACGGTGTGTGAACTCACCCTGCGTGCAGCGCCTCCCACTTCAGGATCTCCTGCCAGGCCTGCTCGTTGTTCGTGTTGTGGATTTTTATGATGTTGGTCATATCTTTAGCGCCGAGGTCATCCTCACGCCAGCGCCACCTGCAGAGCGAACAAGGCTGACGTTAGATCACATTCAGAACCCGCCCAGAGTCTCCGGCCCCTCCACACCGCTGCCTCCTTTCAGCTTGAGAGTGCGACGCTGTAATTATTAAAGCTTGTAGTATATGCACACTGAGCATTGAGCCAATTAAACATTAAGATTAGATTTTATTTTAAATAAAAATGGACCATGAGAATTATATTTGAATCAGATGAACAGTCACATTCTACTGCGTCTTATTGTGGGCAACACTTGCACACAGACAGCTTTGGCAACGTTAACCGAACCATGCTAGTCAGGTTAGCCTCTGGGTGAGTCATGTAGCTCATATGGTGAACGTGTACGACTGGTTACCACCACGCGGTTATCAGCCGTCTTAGTTAACCAGGTTCTCTTCATCAGGCATCATGTGCACTTTACCATAAGACGAGGCGTTTGGCGTCATTTCACTCTTCTACCACACGAACGCAACCAATCACGTGCTTCCATCAAGAGGAACATGTTATAATGGAGAGCTATGAGGAATTTAAGAAAATGATGACAGTAGGAGCAACACTGATGCTGCAAACAAGGCAAGAGAAGTTAGTTAATATCCATTTTATCATTTTATGCACTCATAATGTCCACCGTTCATTTCTACAGCCGCACATTCTGCAACACTTACATTTTAAACCTGATGCACGTCACGCTCAAGAATTACACTTCGCTCTGAACGTGGAAATCTCTTTAGTTTTTGGCCAAATATTGATTGATGATTATCGGTGCTGTGACAGACAGGAAGGGGGAGACGACATAAATGGCAAATTACTCTCATTGCCAGCCTGGGAGACACAAATGTGTCTCTAATGAAGAGTATGAGGAGATGTTACATGCTGGGAAACCCCAAACGGCCTGTGCTACGTTACTGCACACGTGCCCAGTGATGAACCGGCATACAGAAGTCACTCATGGACTGACCCTTTCCGCAGCATGGCGTTCCAGAACATCTGCTCAGACGGGTAAACCCAGTTCTTTTCCGCGTTGTGACGGGGAATGGTGGACTCCTCTCTGGCCAGGTGGAGGGCGAAGGGCTGGTCTTGAGCTGGTACTTGGTTAGGAGGAGGCATCTGCACACACGGGCAGGAGAGACGGCTCACAACACGATACACACTCAGTCGTTCAGCACTGCAAATATTATCCTTAGCTCATCGCTCCAAGATGTTGAACCTTTGTTAACTGTTAAATGGTGCTTTAGTCAAAAGACAGATCACACATTGATCCGTTTCAGCTTAGCGTTCATACTATCACTCCCTGCTCTGTCCACCCAGCACCCATCCTATGTTCATCCACGCAGGTGGTGCACTTACCATGTTAGCTGGGTCGATGTCACTCTTCGTGCCTTCTGCAGCTTTCATGGGACACTCCACATAGTCATAGGCCCGGTCCTGGTGAACTGGACCTGCTGCTGCTTGGTGCATCGGACACTCCGCCGGGGGAGACGCTACAGGAAACAAGAGCACCTGATTGAGGCATAGCGGGTACCAACCCCGGACAGTACTAGCTTAAAACCTTCAACAATACGAATGTTGAAAAGATGGGACCGAGTGCAGCGTTGTCTTGTTCCAGTTCTGATTGTAACAGCTCTACTGATAACTCTAATAGTTTGTTATATTTTGATCTCAAGGTGCACATTTTGCTGTTTGCTGGCCCTACTTTTGTAATGATAAGAGCTGCATTCAGTGGAAGCCAATGGCCAAGAATTCATTGACAATCTCTCAAAATAGTTGCCAATGGCAAGCGTTACCGCCGATCCCCGAGTTGTACGTTTGCGAGGCAACATCAGGGAGCATTGGCACAAGCCACTGAAACAAAACCAACCTGCAACTTATCCCATCAGTGCCTCCAGGAAATGTATTCGCTAAAGCGGTACAGGCATGTCACAAATAACTGAACAGGCCAGCATGCACTTTAATGTTGATACCTTTCACAGGCTGAGCTTGATGCATGGGACACTCCGCAGGTGGAGACACTAAGAGAGGCACACACAAACAAAATGCAACGTGTTAACATCATTTCACCAACTATAGGTAAAAAAAATAAACAATGTTTTGTTAGCACCTTTGACAGGCTGGGCTTCTTGGTGCATGGGGCAGCCCTGAGGGGGGGCGGCCATCATGGCCTCTGCCCGGACTGTAGGAGCAGCAGGTGTGGACAAGGAGGCTCCCATCCTGCCCTGTCAGATGTGGACACACACACAACACACACACACACACAGTCAACACTCTTAATGTCAGATGAACTGGTATGGGTAACTGGTGGTAGGCTAATCACAGGAGCTAGCTCACTGGATGTAGTCTGCAGCACCGTGAGTCAGAAACAGTCCAGCACTGAGCTGGCCTGCACATCCTCTCATTGTCAAGGACTCCAGGAAAACAGAAACACCGTGTCCAACCTGTATTAAACACTAACGTTTCTGATCAACCAGCCATTGGAGCCACATCGATGGAGGCAGACATGTAAAGAATGAGCGCTAACGTTACGTCTATAGTTATCAGGTCAGGTATGTCAAAGTGCCTTTACACTTAAGGGAATAATATCATACATTATGATGAACGTGAAGTAGTTCAGTCGAAGGAATATTTTTTAAAGTGAATTCCAAAGGCTAACGCACATAAGATATTAATGTTAACGGTCAGAATGTCTGAACAGCCTGACATGTGATCCGACCAGAAGTTATCCTTGATTAACCTCACGGTGAATGTTAGCATCAAAGCTAACGCAGTAACGCTAGCTAGTAGCCTGGTTCCAGACCCCTGGACCCCCCCGTCCCCCAACATCTCAGATGTATTCAAATACTATGACATAATGAAGTGAAACGAAATGTCAAATCAATCTGACAATCAGGCGATAGCGGTACTAACGTTAGCTAACTTAACTACTTTCATGTATGGTTAGCTACCTAGCAGCTATGCTAACGTTAGCCGACATGTTTACGGTCTTATTTCTACTTTAACGTCCTTTAAACAAAGCAGGTTAACAATACATGCAGGTTGCCTCTTTCTCTCTGTCTAGTCGCATTATCTACAGTATGGTGCGAACAGACCAAGAGCGAGATAAACACCTGACTCACCTGTAAGAGAAGTCAGCACAGAGGCGTCTGGTGTCGGTTTGCTATCCCAATGTCAACGAGTAGGACATGTTACTGTGGGTTATGTGTGCAGTACGTAAACCAAGTACGTCATCACGCTGCATTAGACAACACGGCGTACACATTTGGTAACATGTGGGTGATATAACAAGAGCTGCATCATTACATAGCAATGCAATAGCAACGCAAAGGTCTCCCTCCTCATATGTAATGAGCCCATAGTTTTGAGACTGTGAAGTTTCTGATATTTTGTCCATCTCCCTTTACTTGTGGTTATATCAAATATAAAGCCAGTGAGTGATCTGTAGAACCAAAGAGGACATGTGTCTAAATGTCCTGTCTTTAGAATAGACTGGTAATAACTGTAGCACGTGTAATAGATAATATATCTTGGACATTTTATTGGGCTACAGAATAACAGATGCTAAGGATAGATGTAGTTATGCTGTGCACAAGCAAACATCCTACGTTTAGTACATGTAGGTAACTGAAGGTGTCTCTGTTCAGAGCACTTTGCACACCACTCTACTATTCCTGGGGTTAAACCACAGAAACACAAGTGTATAGCTTATAATGATGCTATGAGGATATCACTAGAGACCTAGAGGGTACAGATGCTTGTGGTTACAAACTGTTCTAAGACATCTCATGTTAAAATTTATTTGCCTACTTCATGAGCCTGAAAATGAAATCCTCTCGGGCTTATCATACATAAGTATCTACTGCAGGCTACCAGTCACGGCATTATAGTTGTCTCTTTGTAGGACACTGATTTCTATTCTATTTAAACCCTTATGTGTTATTGGGCTTTTGTTTATAAAATGTCTTGACTGTTTTCTGAGTCTGTAATAACGTTTTAATTGATTGATTGATTTACCAGGGACAGTGCGCATTAATCAACATTTCAGTTTCCTAAATTACAATTTAGTGGCCTAATATCAGTACAATGCCACAGCAAACTGTAGTAAACCACTGTAGAGCACAATACAACACAGTACGTTACAATACAATAAAATACATAAATGCATTACAAAGGTAGCTCATACATGTGGGAACGAAATATGAAACCCTCCTTTCACTACACACCAGCCTTAATAGGCCCCAAATGGTTATTTTTTTAGAGTCTATCAGTCTAATACCATGAAGTCATAATTCTATATCCTAATTACTGGATTCAAATGTACAATACTTTTTAGTACTAATACCAAATCCATGTCTTTTTTATATACGACACTAATCACTGCTGGAGTTGCAAAACTTGGTTCGTCCTGTGGTAGCGGTGTTTGTCCAGTAGAGGGCGCCAAAATCCCGTCTGAAGTTTACACTTTGTCACGGAATTACGGTATTTTAAGATAAGATAATAAGATAAGCCTTTATCATTATTTAAAATTGTTGTGTTAATATTCATATTAATATTATTGTGTACTTTTGTATTTTGATGCTCTGGCAACATTGTTTTATTTTTTTTTACTGTTATGCTGATAAATTGAATTGAATTGAATATTAGTCTGGCATTGGGGGGGGATTTGCAGTATTACAGCAGCAACGGTGATAGTGCAATAACAACAATAGGCATCAGTAAAAAACCAAACAAGTATAATAAATTAGTAAGTAAACAGTAAAGATATAATAAATAATAACAGTAAAATATATATACATATAATCGTAGACTGAATGAATAATTTAGTTTGTCATATGAAATAGGAAATATGAAAGGTTAATATTGTGTAGAATATTGATATTGCACAGTGGTATAAATTGATATTGCAGATGAACGAGTTTCTTGTGTGGCTAACACACTGCAGGTGAAGCAGCCTGTTGCTGAAGGAGCTGCCCAGTACTGTCAGAGTGTCCTGCATGGGTTAGGAGATGTTCCCCATCAGGGATGATAGCTTAGCCATCATTCTCCTTTCTCCCACCACCTCCACTGGACCGGGGACCCAGCAGACCACTTCACAGAAGACGGCTGATGCACCACAGAGTCGAAAAAAGGTCCTCAGGAGGTCTCCCTTCCCTCCAAAACCCTTTTTGCAGAGTGTTTGTGTTGTCTGTGTCCGGTTTATTGTTCAGGTGAACACCAGGTACTCTCAATGTCCATCCTCCTGGATGTTCACTGTTTATACCTACGGTCACCATCTTCAATCCCACACTCTTTTTCTTCTGCCTCCTATATCGCCTAGTTACATTCACTTTACCAAGACAGGGCAACGTATTCAACAGAGAGAAAAAACGAAGAAAGGATGATTTTAATGAAAAAAGCAGACCATTGTAAGTCCCACAAACAAGTGTCACTACAGTAGAAGTGACCTCTCTGATTCTCTGGTGCGGTGACCTCTGACATTGAAATTCCTCAATCTTGGTCCAGCAGTCAAATTCTCCTGAATTAAATGTATTCTAACTGCAACTGAAACAGTTAAAGTGATTCTTATAGTCTGTTATCATTGTGTACCTCTGTATGCATGGCCTTAAGGTGGTACTACTCATTGTATATGGAGATTTGTTGACGTTATTTCGTGAAAAGCAGGTTAGATTTGATTTGTATTTAATCTTACTCATGTTTTTTTTCCAATGCTCATCTATTGTCATTCCAGTTGCTTCTTTTTCTTTCTTTCTTTTGTTGTTGTTGTTAGTGCCCCGGGAATCTAAGAAATACATTAAAAAAACAAAAGCATTACAGAATTATTAAAATGAACAATAATGATATTGGGTCCATTGCTTTTTCTTTTACTAGATGAGACCATTAAAAGGTTAAAGGTCCTTATAATTGGATATTGCTCTGTAGAAATATACAAATTTACAATGAATCAATGAGGTTACCACAGCTGATCAACACATTCCATGAGTTTTATCCCAGAGTTTACCACCCTGTTAAACATTAATTGTTCATGTTTTCTACTTTTATGAGAATTTTCCACAAAGTTCAAAATGCTTGCAATTCATAGCTCTATTGTGCTTTTGTACCTTTGTGGTTGAGAACACCCACACTGACAACAGACTGAACATTGAGGCATCACTTAGACGCCAATGGTTATTGCTTTGGGTTTGGCTCTATTAGTTCTTTGTGTGTGTAATTAATCTGAGTTCTTGGTGCGCCTGGAATGAAACTCAACCACAGCAACAGTCGCCTCCAAGTGTTCGGGTGGAAAGTGGTGAAGCTGTTTGTTAAAGAGTTCTAATATTCAAGATAAATGCTATCTACTATCGTAACATTTGAACACCTTGTCGTTCCACCAAACAGTTGAAGTTTTCCTCATACCTGGACTTTTTTCAATCCTCAACGAGTGACTGAACATTTCAATCACAGAACAAATCCCTGAAAACCTCCAAGGCTGCGATTCATTAAAAGTATGTGAAACGCAATGCCACGCTCACTGATTAAAACCTGGCTTATCACGCAGGTCGCTTCATTCATGTTGAACATATTGAGGCGGAAGAGTTTCCTAATTGTTTCCTGAACCCCGGCACATATACAAGACATACACAGCAAGATAGTATCAGGAATGAAACTATTATCAAAGGTTGCCACTTTGCCTAAAAGACCCCTCTGGAGATCTGACAGAAATCCACTAAACATGTGTGTCAGTGGAGGTGCAGCCCATTAAATCTATTTGTGAATGTATATTCTCATGCTTCCATGTCTGATTGTGATTTCCCCACAGCTGTGATACATATTGCTGTGATGTTATTGTAGTCAAAGTTTTTTATAATTCCCTTCAACCCACACACACACTGTGTTCACTCACACATACAGCTGCCATCTGCTTGTGGGATGCTCCATATGCTTTCATTCAGCGTTGTGAAGCATTCTTTACGGGTTTTTAGAAGACAAGGAACATAAATGCACCTGTTACAATACAGTACAATTTAAAGCCAGTCATGAGTGACTTGTTATCTTCACTTGGGACTTACCCATGTTGACTTAGGACTTGATAGTCTTCACTTGGGACTTACTCATGTTGACTTAGGACTTGATAGTCTTCACTTGGGACTTAACTCCATTGACTTGACTGCACTGACGCTGAACTTTGGCACGGAATATAAATCTTGCATTCTATTGAATATGAACATAATTCCAAGGGATAATTGGCTGGCAAGATGCAATTAAGCACATGAACTGTACATCAGGATGTGACAACAGCAATTCTGATTAAACAACAAAAATATTCCAAAGTGGAAATCCTCACGGAAAACACTGAAGTTTAATTGTTTAGGTAAGCACAAAAGGCATTGTTCCCAATCTCCGATGTTGATGAGTGTATCTCCATCATAGGCCATACATGCTCAAGTAATAACGAAGAAAAGACAACAATCTTTTTTTTTAATTAGCGAAAAGTATAATAATAATAATAATACATTTCATTTATATAGCGCTTTAAAAGGCACTCAAAGACACTTCACATGGTAAAAACAGAAACAATAAAAGCATTTATAATAAGAACAAAATCTACGACATAACAGTAAGAAAGAAAAATAAACACGAAGAGAAAAAAAAGAAAACATACATGACTGACTTTAGAGGTTAAAAGCAGATTTAAATAGGTGAGTTTTAAGTGCAGTTTTGAAGGTGGCGAGTAACGGAGAATGTCTGAGGTGTTGGGGCAGGGAGTTCCAGAGGGAGGGGGCAGCAACGGAGAAGGCCCTGTCCCCCCAGGTCCGATGCTTGGACAGAGTAGGGGGGGTAAGGAGGTTGGTGTCGGCGGATCTCAGGTTGCGGTTGGGAGTGTGACGAGGTGCAGGAGGTCTGAAAGGTATGAAGGGGCAAGGTTGTGGAGGGCTTTGTAAGTGATGAGGAGAATCTTGAACTGGATTCTTTGCTGTATGGGGAGCCAGTGGAGGTTTTGAAGGACTGGGGTGATGTGGTCTCTGGTGCGGGAGTGGGAGAGCAGACGGGCAGCTGAGTTCTGGATGTATTGTAGTTTATTGATGATTTTGGTGGGTGAGCCGTACAGGATGCTGTTGCAGTAATCCAGTCGAGAGGTGATGAAGGCGTGGATGAGTGTTTCAGCGGCTGCGGAGGAGAGGGAGGGGCGGAGACGGGCGATGTTTTTGAATGTATGGGAGCTACTGGTCGCCGCATCTACTGTAGG